CTTGTCACGTGACGAGGCCGGGGGCGGGGCCCCGCGCTGCTGCTGCTGCTGCTGCTGCTGCTGCTGGCGCTGCTCCTCCTCCTCCTGCTCCTTGCGGCGGCGCTCCCGCTCCCGGGCCCGGGCGGCTCGCTCGGCCTGCTTCTGCACGAACTGCGGGGTGGGGAGAAACGGGGAGGGTTGGGCAAAAACGGGGAGAAACGGAGAGGGGTTGGGCAAAAACGGGGAGAAACGGGGAGGGTTGGGGCAAAAACGGGGAGAAACGGGGAGGGTTGGGCAAAAACGGGGAGAAACGGAGAGGATTTGGGCAAAAACGGGGAGAAACGGAGAGGATTTGGGCAAAAACGGGGCGAAACGGAGAGGGTTTGGGCAAAAACGGGGCGGGTTTGGGGAGAAACGGAGCGGGGTTGGGGCAAAAACGGGGAGAAACGGAGAGGATTTGGGCAAAAACGGGGCGAAACGGAGCGGGGTTGGGGCAAAAATGGAGCAGGTTTGGGGAGAAACGGAGCGGGGTTGGGGCAAAAACGGGGAGAAACGGAGAGGATTTGGGCAAAAACGGGGCGAAACGGAGAGGGGTTGGGGCAAAAACGGGGAGAAACTGAGAGGGTTTGGGGAGAAACGGGGCGAAACGGAGCGGGGTTGGGGCAAAAACGGGGAGAAACTGAGAGGATTTGGGCAAAAACGGGGAGGGTTGGGGCAAAAACGGGGAGAAACTGAGAGGATTTGGGCAAAAACGGGGCGAAACGGAGCGGGTTGGGGAGAAACGGAGTGAGGTTGGGGCAAAAACGGGGAGAAACGGAGAGGGTTTGGGCAAAAACGGGGAGAAACGGAGAGGGGTTGGGGCAAAAACGGGGCGAAATGGAGAGGGGTTGGGCAAAAACGGAGCAGGTTTGGGAAGAAACGGAGCGGGTTTGGGGAGAAACACAGCGAAACGGAGCAGGTTTGGGGTGAAACGGAGCGGGTTTGGGCAAAAACGGAGCGAAACGGAGCGGGTTTGGGCAAAACGGAGCAGGTTTGGGGAGAAACAGAGAGAAACGGAGCGGGTTTGGGGTGAAACGGAGCGGGTTTGGGGAGAAACGGAGCGGGTTTGGGGAGAAACGGAGCGGGTTTGGGCAAAAACGGGGCGAAACGGAGCGGGGTTGGGCAAAAATGGAGCAGGTTTGGGGAGAAACAGAGAGAAACGGAGCGGGTTTGGGGAGAAACTGAGCGGGTTTGGACAAAAACGGGGCGAAACGGAGAGGGGTTGGGGAGAAACAGAGCGAAACGGAGAGGGTTTGGGCAAAAACAGAGCGGGTTTGGGGAGAAACACAGCGAAACGGAGCAGGTTTGGGGTGAAACGGAGCGGGTTTGGGCAAAAACGGAGCAAAACGGAGCGGGTTTGGGCAAAAACGGAGCAAAACGGAGAGGGTTTGGGCAAAAACGGGGCAAAACGGAGCGGGTTGGGGCAAAAACGGGGCAAAACGGAGAGGGTTTGGGCAAAAACGGGGCAAAACGGAGCAGGTTTGGGCAAAAACGGAGCGGGTTTGGGGTGAAACGGAGCGGGTTTGGGGAAAAACGGAGCGGGTTTGGGGAGAAACGGAGCGGGTTTGGGGAGAAACGGAGCGGGTTTGGGGCAACGGGAAGGCTGGGAGGGAAATGGTGGGGGCGTGGCTACAGGCAAAGGGGGCGTGGCCAATGGGGTAGGGCTTGAGGCAATAGGAAGGGGTTAAGGCAAAGGGGCGTGGTTAGGGCAGAAGGGGCGTGGCAGGAGGAAGGGGGCTGGGTTTAGGTGAATGGGAAGGGCTATGGAAAGGCATGGGGCCAATGGGAAGGGGTTAAGGCAAAGGGGGCGAGGCCAGGGCAGGGGGCGTGGCTAAAGCCAAAGGGGGCGTGGGCTTGGGAGTAGGGCTTGAGCCAATAGGAAGGGGTTATGGCAAAGGGGGCGTGGTTAAAGCAAAGCAGAGTGACTGAGGGAAGTGGTGCGAGCCAATGGGACGGGACTAAAGCCCTGGGGGGACAGCCAATGGGAGTAGGGGCAGTGGGGATTAAGGGGCAGCCATTGGTTGGTGTGGGGCGAAGCCCCGCCCCCTGACCTGGGTGTCGGTCAGCGGCAGCCAATAGATGCAGGGCGCTGCCTTGGTCTTGCGGAAGAGGTCATCGAGCAGCTTGGCGGGGGGCTCCTCGGGGGGCTTCTCTATGGGGAGAGGGGGGGCAAAGGGGGTCAGCCCCATAGCATCACCCCATGGAGCCCTATGGAAGCCCCGCCCCCCGAACCCCTAACCCCCTCCCATTGCCGCACACTCCCTCCCATTGATCCCCCAATTTAAGCCCCGCCCACCCAGCTCCTCCCTTCCCCCATAGCCCCGCCCCCCTTTAAAGCCCCGCCCCTCACCTTTCTTTTCCCCCCGCCCCTCCCTGGAGCCCCGCCCCGCCCTGTCCTTCTCTGCCATTGGCTGCCGGTGCCGGGGGCGGGGCTCCCGCGCCGAGGGGGCGTGTCCGGCGCCCAGGGGGCGTGTCCCCCCGGCCGAGGGGGCGTGTCCCGGGCTGGAGGGGGCGGGGCCTGCGGAGGTCGGGGGCGGGGCCGCCGGGACAGCGCCCTTGTCCCGGTCCCACTCCCGCTCCCCCCGCGCCCGCTCCCGCCGCTCCATCTCCCGCTCCCGCTCCGCCCACTGTGATTGGCTGCGGCCCGGCCCGGACACGCCCCCTGGACACGCCCCCCGGCCTTGGGGGCATGACCCCGGGGGGGGCTCCTCTCCCCCCTCCAGGCGATCCGGGAGCAGCCCCCGGTGGAAGTCGAGCTGTGGGGAGAGAGAGAGACCCATAAGTGACCCATAGGGACCCACAGAGACCCATAAGTGACCCATAGGGACCCACAGGGATCCATAGAGACCCAGAAGTGACCCATAGGGACCCATAGGGACCCACAGGGACCCATAAGTGACCCATAGGGACCCACAGGGATCCATAGAGACCCAGAAGTGACCCATAGGGACCCACAAGAGACCCATAAGTGACCCATAGGGACCCACAGGAATCCATAGAGACCCAGAAGTGACCCATAGGGACCCACAAGAGACCCATAAGTGACCCATAGGGACCCACAGGGACCCACAGAGACCCAGAAGTGACCCATAGAGACCCACAGGGATCCATAGAGACCCAGAAGTGACCCACAGAGACCCACAGGGATCCATAGAGACCCAGAAGTGACCCATAGGGACCCAGAAGTTACCCACAGGGAACCATAGAGACCCAGAAGTGACCCATAGGGACCCATAGAGACCCATAACTGACACAGGGAGCCAGAAGGACTCATAGGGACCCATAATGACACATAGGGACCCATAACGACCCATAGGAACCCATTAGTGAATCACAGAGACCGTAAGTGACCTCCCAAACCCCTAAGTGACCACCCCAGGACCATTAAGTGACCCATAGGGACCCACAAAGACACACAGGAATACACAGGGACCCATAAAGACCCATAGCGACCCATAAGGAGCCATACGCACCCGTAAGTGATAAATAGAGAGGTGTAAGTACCCAGAAGTGACACCCAGGACCCATACGTGACCCACAGACACTCACAAGTGACCCACAGAGACCCACAGAGCCCCATAAAGTGACCCATAGAGCCCCACAAGTCCGCCCTCAGACCCCTAAGTGCCCCCCGGCGCTGCCCCACACCTCCTCCTGCTCGGCAAAGTCAGCAACCAGCACTTTGGGGTTGGACTGAGGCCACTTGACCCCGTGCAGGGCATTGCGGGTGGCCACGGCCTCCTCCACGGAGCAGTACTGGGGGCAAAAGCAAAGGTAAGGACCCATAGGGACCCACAGGCACCCCATAGGGACCCATAGAGCCCCACAGGCACCCCACAGGGCCCCATACCGTGACGTAGCAGTGGGACTTGATGCGGTCGATCCAGAAGCCGTCCTCTCGCAGCCGCCCCGTGCGCCCCAAGAGCTCCTTCAGCTGCCCCAGGGTGAAGGGGCGCACCTGGGGGGGGGGAGATGTGGGGCAAAGCTGTGGGGCAGCTCCACCCCATAGCGACCCATAGGAACCCACAGAGCCCCATAGAGACCCACAGAGCCCCCCATAGGGCAGAGGGGGCGTGTCCTTGGCTGACCCCACCCCTCTCCGGCACTATACCACCCCCTGGTAGATGCACAGCAACCCGCTGCCTGTACCCCCCATAGCCAGCCCTTATCACGCCATAGTGCCCCATAGCCACCCCACAGTGCTCCATAGACACCCCATATCGCCCCATAGCCACCCACAGTGCTCCATAGACACCCTCTATCGCCCCATAGCCACCCAGTATCGCCCCATAGCCACCCCACAGTGCTCCATAGACACCCCATATCACCCCACAGCCACCACGTATCGCCACATAGCCACCCCATATCACCCCATAGCCACCCTATATCACCCCATAGCAACCCTATATCACCCCATAGCACCCCCCGGGACCGCTGACGTCACTCACAAGGTTGCAGAGATGCACGATGGGGGAGGGGCGGGCGCGGGGGGGGGAGGGGCGGTTGGGCCCCGCCCGCACGGGGTCATCCACTGGCAGCACCAGCCCCACCCCACCCCGGGCCCGGCGGGGGGGGTCCCCTGCAGCAGAGACCCCATAGAAACCATTACAGACCAGCACAGACCAGTATACACCCATTATAGACCCATTATAGACTCAATATAGATTATTACAAACCCACTGCAGAGCATTATAGACCATTATAGACCCACTATAACCATTATATATCATTATATGATACTGTAGTGCCATTATATCCCATTATGAACCCATTCTATGCTGCTATAGACCCACTATACGTCATTATAGACCATTATAGAACCATTATAGACCATTAGACACCCAGTATATGCCACCAGACACACTGCAGAGCATTACAGACCATTATAGCCCCACTATAAACCATTATATATCATTATATAGTAGTGCAGTGCCATTATATCCCATTGTGAACCCATTCTATGCTGCTACAGACACACTATACGTCTTTATAGAACCATTATAGACCATTATACACCCAGTATATGCCACCCCAGACCCACTGCACAGCATTATAGACCATTATAGACCGAGTATGGACCATTATATATCATTATATAGTAGTGCAGTGCCATTATATCCCATTGTGAACCCATTCTATGCTGCTACAGACCCACTATACGTCATTATAGAACCATTATAGACCATTATACACCCAGTATATGCCACCCCAGACCCACTGCACAGCATTATAGACCATTATAGACCGAGTATGGACCATTATATATCATTATATAGTAGTGCAGTGCCATTATATCCCATTGTGAACCCATTCTATGCTGCTACAGACCCACTATACGTCATTATAGAACCATTATAGACCATTATACACCCAGTATATGCCACCACAGACCCACTGCAGAGCATTATAGACCATTATAGCCCCACTATAGACCATTATATATCATTATATGATACTGTAGTGCCATTATATCCCATTATGAACCCATTCTATGCTGCTATAGACCCACTATGTCATTATAGAACCATTATAGACCATTATAGACCATTATACACCCAGTATATGCCACCAGACCCACTGCAGAGCATTATAGACCCACTATAAACCATTATAAACCCCTACAGACCGCCACAGACCCATTACAGACCCATTACAGCCCCATTATATGCCCCTTATAGACCCCTCCAGACCCCCTATAGGCTGTTACAGCCCCATAGAGCCCCCTCTCACCTCTCTTCACTTCCCCCTCCGTGCCAGCAGGGGGCGGCGCTCCCTCCGCGGGGGGCGGGGCCTGGGCCGAGGGGGCGGGGCCAGCACCTGCAGGGGGCGGTGCCTCTCCACGGCTCCTCCCCTCCTCCTCTGTGCCCTCGGGGTCGTTGTCATGACGACGGCCGTTCTCAGGGGGCACATCCTAAAGCGGGGGGGAGTGATGGGGGTCAGAGTCACGTGGTCAGGGGGGGCAATGGTGCTGAATGGGGGCTATGGGATGTGGGGGGGGGGTCCATGGTTACCTGGGTGACGGTGCGGCAGATCTTGAGGGGGGGGTTGTTGCCATGGTGATGGTGCAGGTGATGGTGATGGTGGTGATGGGGCAGCCCCAGCAGGGGGGGCGGCGGGAGGGGCAAGGGGGCGTGTCCCGAGGCCACGCCCCCTCCTCCTCCTCCTCCTCCCCCCCCTCCTTTGCCCCCCCCTTCCTCCTCCTCCATCTCCATTGGCCGCTCTTCTTCCTCTTCCTCCTCCTCCTCCTCCTCTTCCGGGTGCAGCTCCACCACCGCTTCCGCCTTCATCTCCGGGATCAGGCTCTGCCATGGGGGGGGCAGTTATGGGGTGAGGGGGGTCTACAGGGGTGGTCTATGCGGGGGTCAATGGAGGGGTCATATAGGGGTGTGGTCTATGGGAGAAGCCTATAGGGCATGGTGGGGTATGGGGGGTCCATGTCTATAGGCATAGGCAGTGGTCTATGGGGGGGGATTTATGGGGGTGGTCTATGGTAGGGTCAATGAGGGGGGTCTATAGGGGGTGGTCTATAGGGGGTGTCTATAGGGGGTGGTCTATGGGGGGAGATTTATGGGGGTGGTCTATGGTGGGGTCTATGAGGGGGTGGTATATGGGGGGTGGTCTATAGGGGGTCATCTATGGGGGGGTCTATAGGAGGTGGTCTATAGGGGGGTCTATAAGGTGGGCTATGGGGCATCTATAAGGGGTGGTCTATGGGGGCTATAGGGTGTAGCCTATAGGGGATGTCCTATAGGGGGCGGTCTATGGGGGCTATAGGGGGTAGCCTATAGGGTATGTTCTATGGGGTGGGTCAGTAGGGGTTGGCCTATGGGGGCTATAGGGGGTAGCCTATAGGGGATGTTCTATGGGGTGGGTCAATAGGGGTTGGCCTATGGGGTCGCTCCAGGGAGGCTTCACCTTGAGGCTCTCGGTGGTGATGCTGATGGACGGGCGCTTGGGGGCGCCGGTGCTGCTGCCCCAGCGCCGCTTGCGGGTGCCCCCCGGCGCCGCCCCGGCCCCGCCCTCCGCTTCCGAGCTCCCCCTGGCGGCCGCTGCGTGCACAGACACGTAAAGGGGCGGGGTAGGGGGAAGGGGGCGGAGCTTGCTGGAGGCAGCGCGCCCGCCTCCGCCGTTGTAGCGCCCCCTGCCGGAGCCAAGCAGCAGCCGCGCTCCCATTGGTCGGCGCACGGAGCGCAGAGCCCCGCCCACCCCGCGTTAAGCTCCACCCCCCATCCCATTAACCCCGCCCCCTTTCCACCCCACCCCACCCGATTGGCCCTCCCCTTGGCCACGCCCCCTTGAGGCCCCGCCCCCTGCTCACAGACGACGCTGATCTTCCTCTTGAAGGCCTTGGGCCGGGCGGGGCTCTGGGGACAGAGGGGAGGGGGGGAAACACGCCCCAATCAGGAGCGAGGGCGGGGCTGACGTCAGCGCAGGGGGCGGGGCCACGCAGGCTCCGCCCCCTCCTCACTCACTCCTCCCCCTCCCCTCCTTCCCCTTGGCACCCTCCCACCCTCCCCCTCTATGGGGCTGCCCCATAAGTGACCTCCGGTGTGGGGGGGGCGTCCGGCGCGTCCGTGGGGTGCCCCATAAGTGAACTTGGGGGTCACTGAGGTCCAATGGGTGCCCCATAAGAGAAGATGGGGGTCAGAGATGTCCATGTGCTGCCCCATAAGTGAGGTGGGGGGGTCACTAAGGTCCATGGGCTGCCCCACAAGCGGGGGGTGAAGGGTCAGTGAGGTCCATAGGGTGCCCCATAAGTGAGCCTGGGGGTCACTGAAGTCCATAGGGTGCCCCATAAGAGAACGTGGGGATCACTGAGGTCCATGGGCTGCCCCGTAAGTGTGGGGTGAAGAAGGGTCACTGAGGTCCATTGGCTGCCCCACACAGTGGGTTGGGCGTTGTGAAAGTCCACTGGCTGCCCCATAAGTGTGGGGTGAAGAAAGGTCACTGAGGTCCACTGGCTGCCCCATATGTGAACTTGGGGATAACTGAGGTCCATGGGCTGCCCCATAAGCACGGGGCAAAGAAGGGTCATTGAGGTCCATTGGCTGCCCCCTAAGTGTGGGGTGAAGAAAAGTCACTGAGGTCCACTGGCTGCCCCATATGTGAACTTGGGGATAACCGAGGTCCACGGGCTGCCCCATAAGCGCGGGGCAAAGAAGGGTCACTGAGGTCCATTGGCTGCCCCATAAGTGCGGGGTGAAGAAGGTTCACTGAGGTCCATTGGCTGCTCCTTAAGTGGGGTTGGGTGTTGTGAAAGTCCACTGGCTGCCCCACAAGTGAACTTGGGGGTCACTGAGGTCCTTGGGCTGCCCCATGAGGTTGGGGGGGCAGTAAAGTCCATTGGCTGCCCCATAAGCGAGCTGCTCGGTTGCGGAGTCTCCACGGGCTGCCCCATAAGTGAAGTTTGGGGTCCCTGAGGTCCATTGGCTGCCCCACAGGTGGGGTTGAGGGTCATGGAGAGAGAGCATAGGGTGCCCCACAGGTGAGACTGGGGGGTGTCGAAGTCCATTGGCTGCCCCATAAGTGAACTCGGGGGCCTTGGAGTATTCTTGGGGTGCCCCATAAGTCAGGCTGGGGTCACTGAGGTCCACGGGCTGACCCATAAGTGAGCCTGGGAGTCACGAAAGTGCCCCCCATGCAACTTGTTAAGTCCTGGCAATCAGTGGGGCGCCCCCTAAGTGAACTTGGGGGTCACATATGTCCAGAGGCTGCCCCACAGGAGACACGTGGGGCGCCCCACATGGTACTTGTGGGTCACAGAGGTCCACTGGATGCCCCGTAAGTGAGGCTGGGGGTCACAGGTTTCAGTAGGTTGCCCCACGTGGCACTTGTGGGTCACGGACTGATCCATGGAGCGCCCCATAAGGCTTGTTATGGGTCCCAGAGGTCCATCAGCTGCCCCATAAGTGAAGCCGAGGGTCACAGATGGCCACAGGGTGCCCCACATGGCACCTGTGGGTCCCCGAGGTCCATAGGCTGCCCCGTAAGAGATCCATGGGGTGCCCCACACATCCATAGGCTGCCCCACAGGAGATCCACAGGGTGCCCCACACGTCCATAGGCTGCCCCACGTGACTTGTTATGGGTGCAGAGCTCTGAAGGCTGCCCCACGTGGCACTTGTGGGTCCCAGCTCAATCCATAGGGTGCCCCATAGGGTTTGTTATGGGTCCCAGAGGTCCATCAGCTGCCCCATAGGAGCTCCATCGGCTACCCCACACATCCGTAGGGCGCCCCATATGCGATCCACGGCCTGCCCCACACGGCACTTATGGGTCCCAGCCACCGCTGGGGTGCCCCCCATGGCACTTGTGGGTCCCGGCCTGCTCCGTGGGGTGACCCCCCACACTTGGGGGTCCCGCGGCTCCATCGGGTGCTGGATGCCCCCCAAGTGAGGCCTTGGGGGGGGTCCGGGGGGTCCTTTGAGCCAGCGCTGGGTGCCCAAAAGAGAGACGTTGGGGGGTCCTGACTTGGGGGGCGCCCCCCAAGTAAGGGGGCTTGGGGGGGGGCATGTGTGGGGCGCCCCAGAGGTCAATGGGGTGTTGCTGTGGGGCGACTGTGGGGCTCAGGCTGCTGTGGGGCACCCACTAAAGCATGGCGGGGGCTGCCCCCCCAGTGGAAACGGGCCCCGTAACTGTGGGGCGCCCCATAACTGATTATGGAGGGGGGGCTGGTGCTATACGGCACCCCCATAAATGACTATGAGGGGGTTGGTGCTGCCATGGGGTGCCCCATAAGCAAATATGGGGGGGGGCATTGATGCTATGGGGTGCCTCGTAAGTGACTCTAGGAGCCCGCAGTGCTATGGGGTGCCCCATAAGTGACCCTTCGGGCCTCACTGGGCGCTGTGGGGTGCCCCATAAGTAACTATGGGGGTGCTGCATCCATGACGTACCCCATAGGTGGCTCTTTAGGCTGCAATGGGCGCTACGGGGCGCCCCATAAGTGACACAAGGGGTTGGTCATGGGGCAGGGCCCGTCCCCCCCCCTCTGCCCCACATCTCCCCCCCTCCCCCATGTTACCTCAGGGTCCGGGGGGCGCTCGGGGGGGGCACTCGGGGGGGGGGAGCCCCCACTTGGGGGGGGCGGTCCCGGCTCCATGGGCACCGGCGGCTCCTCGCTGTGGGGCAGAGATCAGTGGGGCTGCCCCATAGGTACCCTATGGGGGGCACTCTGCCCCATAGAGGGGCTGAATAGGGGCTTCCTGCCCCATAGAAGCGCTAAGTGGGGGTCCCAGCCCCACGCATTCCCCACACAAGCCCTTAACAGTGGATCCCTGCCCCACAGACACCCCATAGGGCTCCTTAACTGTGGGTCTCTGCCCCATTGCCCTCCATAGAGCCGCCAAACAGGAGCTTCCTGCCCCATGGAGACGCTAAATGGGGCTCCCTGCCCCACACATCCCCCATAGAGCCCCGCAGAGAAGCCACACACACGCCCCATAGCACCGCATCCCTGCCCCATAGACACCCCAGGGCCCCTTCCCAGTCCCATACATTCCCCCCCACACACCCCCATAGCGAGGTATCCCAGCCCCGTAGGAAAACCCCTGCCCCATAGCGCCCATAGGAACACCCCTGCCCCATAGCACCCCATAGGAACATCCCTGCCCCATAGCGCCCATAGGAACACCCCAGCCCCATAGCGCCCATAGGGACACCCCTGCCCCATCGCCGCCCCATAGCGCCGCGGGGCACTCACCCCCTCCCCTCTCTATTGTGTGGGGCCGGCGCAGGCGGGCGCGGCCGCCATCTTGAGCCCTTCCCAGCAGCCCCCGCGGTGGGGGGGGGGGGGGGGAGGGGCTGGGGGAGGGGCTGCAGCTCAGAGCCATGGAGACAGAGACCCTATAGATGCCCTATAGGAAACCCATAGATACCCTAGAGATACCCCATAGGAACCCTATAGACACCCTATAGACACCCTATAGATGCCCTATAGACACCCTATAAATACCCCATAGGAACCCTATAGATACCCTATAGCCACCCTATAGATACCCTATAGACACACTATAAACATCCTAGAGATACCCCATAGGAACCCTATAGACACCCTATAAATACCCTATAGACATCCTATAGACACCCAATAAACACCCCATAGGAACCCTATAGATACCCTATAGACACGCTATAGAAACCCTATAAATACCCCATAGGAGCCCTCTAGATATCCTATAGATACCCTATAGATACCCCATAGGAACCCTATAGATACCCTATAGACACCCTATAGATACCCTATAGACACCCCATAGACATCCTACAGATACCCTATAGATACCCCATAGGAACCCTATAGATACCCTATAGACACCCTATAGAAACCCTATAAATACCCCAGAGGAACCCTCTAGATATCCTATAAATACCCTATAGATACCCCATAAGAACCCTATAGATACCCTATAGACATCCTATGGGAGCCTATAGAAACCCTGTAAGAACCCATAGAACCCTTACAGATACCTACAACAACCCGTACACACCCTATAGATACCCTATAGGCACTCTACAGGAACCTAGAGACACCCATAGGCACTCCATAGATACCTACAACAACCCGTACACACCCTATAGATACCCTATAGGCACTCTATAGGAACCTAGAGACACCCATAGGCACCCTATAGATACCTACAACAACCCATACACACCCTATAGATCCCCAACAGACACCCTATAGGAATGCATAAAAACCTTACGGATACCTACAACAACCCATACAGACCCTATAGATGCCCTACATACACCCTATACGAACCCATAGAAACCCTATAGATACCTACAACACCCCATACAGACCCTATAAATACCCTATAGACATCCTATAGGAACCTATAGGCACCCACATGCACCATATACATACCTACCACAGCCCATACAGACCCTATAGATATCCTACAGAAACCTATAGACACCTATAAGTGTCTATAAGACACCTTAGATGCTCATAGGAATCCTATGGAAAGCCACAGACACCCATACGAACCCTATAGAGACCCATAAGTACCTATAGAAACCCATACAGACCCTATCAACACCCAATAGAGACCCACAAACACCTACAGGGACCCTGCAGATGCCCATAGGAATCCTATAGAGACCTATAGACACCCATAGAGACCCCACAGACACCTATAGTGACTCCAAGGACACCCTATAGAGACCTACAGACACCCATAGGGACCTATAGGGCACATACAGACACCCACAAGCACCTATAAACATCCCGAGGGAGCCTATAAGGACTTACAGACACCCACAACGCCCCACAGCACCCTACAGACACCCTATAGAAACCTACAGGCATCCATATGGACCCTATAGAGACCCTACAAACACCCACAGGCTTCTATAGGGAAGAGACACCAGAGGCTCCTATAGACACCCCCTGGGACCCTATAGACACCCCCTGGGACCTATACAGACCCCATAGACACTCTACACACAACTATAGGAACCAACAGAGACCCCATGGAGCACCAATAGACACCCCACAAGCACCTACAGCCACCCTATAGAGAACCATAAGCACCTACAAACAGTCATGGGACCCCATACAGACTCCATAGGACACAGAGATGGAACCCGGCGCGCACACACACCCCCCATAGGTACCCTATAGTGCCCCATAAGGACCCCATAAACACCACCATAGACCCACACATCCCCCCTAGGTCCACACAGGGACCCCACAGCCAGCCCTACAGACCCCCCTTAATGCCCCCAGGGACCCCAACACCCCCATAGATCCCCCACAGACCCATATATAGAGCCCCCGACATCCTATACCTCCCCATACACCCTATATAGAGACACCCCCACACACACAACAGACCCATATGCCCCCCATAGACCCTAGAACCCCCCCACAGACCCCACATATAACCCCCCACCCCATATCCCCACCATAGACCCCATAACCCCCCACACAGACCCCATATATTCCCCCCCATAGACCCCATGTATGAAGCCCCCACCCCATATCCCCCCATAGACCCCATAACCCCTGCCATAGACCCCATATATAACCCCCCACTCTATATCCCCCCATAGACCCCATAACCCCCACCATAGACCCCATGTATGAAGCCCCCACCCCATATCCCCACATAGACCCCATATATAACCCCTCTACCCCATATCCCCCCACATAGACCCCATAACCCCTGCCACAGACCCCATATATAACCCCCCACTCCATATCCCCCCCATAGACCCCATAACCCCCACCACAGACCCCATGTATGAAGCCCCCACCCCATATCCCCCCCATAGACCCCATAACCCCCACCGTAGACCCCATGTATGAAGCCTCCACCCCATATTCCCCCCATAGACCCCATAACCCCTGCCATTGACCCCATATATAACCCCCCCACCCCATATGCCCCCCATAGACCCCATATCCCCCCTATAGACCCCATATATAACCCCCCCATCCCTATATAACCCCCCCAGCCCTATAGGGCCCCCCCATCTCTCACCTATGGGGCTCCACGGGGGCTCCGGGGATCTCACCCCCTCCCTCACCCTCGGCTTCATCCTGGGGGGGGGGGGAACAGAGTCAGTGTGGTCACATGACCCAGGTGAGATCACATGACCACCACCCCCACCACCCCCCCAATACACTCACCTTCCTCCCTGGGGATGAGGCTGAAGATGGCAGCCGAGGGGGAGACAAAGATGGCGGCCGGGGGGGCGACAAAGATGGCGGCCGGGGGGGGCCCCCCCCTTCCCCTTCCTCCCCTTCATCATCCTCCTCCTCCTTCTTGGGGGCTCCCTCCCCGCCATGGGGAGCAATGGGGGGGGGCTCCTGCTCGGGGGGAGCCGGGTCCGGCTGGGGGGGGGCCCCCTGGGGAGGAGGAGGCTCCTCCTCCTCCTCCTCTTCCTCGCCCCCCCCTTCCTCCTCCTCCTCCTCCTCCTCGTCCTCCTCTTCCTCATCACCCCCCCCCGCGGGAGCAGGGGCCTGGGGGGGGGAAATGGGGGTTAATGGGGGGGAGGAAATGGGGGTTAATGGGGGGGAAATGGGGTTCAAGTGGGTCTAAATGGGCTTCAATGGGGCTCTATGGGGTTCAATGGGGATTCAATGGAGTCTAAATGGGGTTCAGTGGGGCTCTGTGGTGTGCAATGGGGGTTCAAGTGGGTCTAAATGGGCTTCAATGGGGCTCTATGGGGTTCAATGGGGATTCAATGGAGTCTAAATGGGGTTCAGTGGGGCTCTGTGGTGTGCAATGGAGGTTCAAGTGGGTCTAAATGGGCTTCAGGGGGGCTCAATGGGGTTCAGTGGGGCTCTATGGGGTTCAATGGGGATTCAATGGAGTCTAAATGGGGTTCAGTGGGGCTCTGTGGTGTGCAATGGAGGTTCAAGTGGGTCTAAATGGGCTTCAATGGGGCTCTATGGGGTTCAGTGGGGCTCTATGGGGTTCAATGGGGATTCAATGGAGTCTAAATGGGGTTCAGTGGGGCTCTGTGGTGTGCAATGGGGGTTCAAGTGGGTCTAAATGGGCTTCAATGGGGCTCTATGGGGTTCAGTGGGGCTCTATGGGGTTCAGTGGGGTTCAATGGAGTCTAAATGGGGTTCAGTGGGGCTCTGTGGTGTGCAATGGAGGTTCAAGTGGGTCTAAATGGGCTTCAATGGGGCTCTATGGGGTTCAGTGGGGCTCTATGTTGCTCAATGGGGATTCAATGGAGTCTAAATGGGGTTCAGTGGGGCTCTACGGTGTGCAATGGGGGCTCAATGGGGTTCAATGGGGTCTAAATGGGCTTCAATAGTTCTCTATAGGGTCTAATGGGGGTTCAATGGGAGCTAAAGGCATTCAATGGGGTTTAATGGGGCTCTATGGTGTTCAACTGGGTCTAAATGGGGTTCAATGGGCCTCTGTGGTGTGCAATGGGGGTTCAATGGAGTCTAAATGAGGGTCAATGGGGTCCAATGGGGTGTAAATGGGGGCTCAATGGGGTCTAATGGGACTCTATGGGGTTCAGTGGCATGTAAATGGGGGTTCAATAGGGCTCTATGGGGTTCAAGTGGGTCTAAATGGGGTTCAGTGGGGCTCTATGGGGTTCAGTGGGGCTCTATGGGGGATCAATGGGGCTCTATGGGGTTCAATGTGATTCAATGGGGGAACAATGGGGCTCTATGGGGTGCAATGTGATTCAATGGGGGATCAGTGGGGCTCTATGGGGTTCAATGTGATTCAATGGGGGATCTATGGGGTGCAATGTGATTCAATGGGGGATCAGTGGGGCTCTATGGGGTTCAATGTGATTCAATGGGGGATCAATGGGGCTCTATGGGGTGCAATGTGATTCAATGGGGGATCAGTGGGGCTCTATGGGGTTCAATGTGATTCAATGGGGGATCAATGGGGTTCTATGGGGTGCAATGGGGGGGCTCCCTTCACCTTCCTCTCCCCTTCCTCCTCCTGCTGCTCCTTTGCTGCGGGGCCGCTCTTCCCAGCTCCTGTTTTGGGGCCATCCCCAAAAAGAGCATTTTTTGGCTCATTTTGGGCTCATTTGGGGGCGGTTTTGGGTCACTTTGGGGCGGTTTTGGGGCTGTGCTGACCCTCGGCCTCGGCCTCGCGCGCCTCCCGCTCCAGGCGCTGCTGCAGCAGCTCCTGCTGCTTCTCCAGGTACTCCTTGATGAAGCTGTTCTGGCTCATCTCCTCGCCCATCTTTGGGGCAAAAAACAACCGTTTCGGGGCATTTGGGGCGCCTCGAAGCCTTTCGAGGTGTTTCCGGGGGGGTTGGGGGCGGTTTTGGGGCTGTTCTCACCTGGGAATTGGGCTGGAAAGTGGCGTGAGGGGTCGAGTGCTTCTGGAGGTTCTCGAGCATCAGCGCCTGTTTTGGGGTGATTCGGGGTGGTTTGGGGTCTTTTCAACCCCTATGCACCCACCCTTAACGCGCTAGACCCAAAAGTAGCAGATTTAAACCCGAATCTAAGCCCACAAGCTCAAAACATGGGGTTTTCTACATAAAACGTTGGAAGTTTGGCCTCAAAAAAGCAGCTTTGAGGCCAAAACGACACCAAAATGATGGGGTTTCACCTGAAATCGAGCCCAGAAAGAGGTTTCTGGCTCAAATAGCACCAAATCCAGGGATCTGGGCTCAAATTCCAGCCCAAGCGGTCAAAAACACCCAAATCCCTTCATAGATTGGCTAAAAATGTTTTTTTTTACCTCAAATTCCCCCGCAAAGCACAAGTTTTACCTGAAACCCACCTCAGAATGCGCTGAAAACACAACTTTTGAGCTCAAATTTGGGCACAAAGCGGCCAAAAATGGGATTTTTAAGATCAAAATGGATTTTTTAGGTCAAAATTCCCCAAAACTGCAGATTTTAACTCAAAAAACTTCATTTTGACATCAAAAATGGTCCCAAATTGCCCAAAATAACACTTTTTCCTCCCAAATCCCGCCACAAACCACCCAAAACAGTGATTTTTACCTCAAATTAAAGCTCATGCTGCCAAACCCACCACTTTTACCTCAAACACATTCAAAGCACCTTTAAAAGGCCCCAAAATCACCACTTTCCCCCCCAAAAAACAAATCAGGATGTCCAAAACCATTACTTTTACCTCAAATTCCCTTCGAACTGCCCCAAAACTGCCACTTTTACCCCAAATAACCCCAAACCCAGCACTTTTAACTCAAAAGAGCCCTCAAACTGCCCCAAACTGAAACTTTTACCCCAAAACCTCCCTCGAACCCCCCAAAAACACCACTTTTAACTCAAACTCCTGAAAACCGCCACTTTTCCCTCAAAAACATCCTCAACCTCCCCAAAAGTGCAACTTTTCCCTCAAAATCCTCCCAAAACTCGCCAAAAGCACCGCTTTCAGCCCAAAACCCCCTCAAACTGCCCAGAACTGCAACTTTTACCTCAAAAATCTCTCCCAAACTCCCATAAACCATCACTTTCACCCCCAAATCCCATCAAATTCGCAGAAACCACCACTTTTAGCCCAAAACCCCACCACTTTTACCCCAGACCACCCCCTTTACCCTAAAAGCAGCACTTTTTACCACAAAACATCCTCTTTTACCCCAAAACTCCCACTTTTTACCTCAAACCCACCACTTTTTACCTCAAGCCACCACTTCCACCCCAAACCCCACACTTTTACCCCAAAAAACCACTTTTTACCTAAAACCCACTTTTTACCTCAAACCCACCACTTCCTCCCCAAACCCCCCACTTTTACCCCCAAAACCCCACTTTTTACCTCAAACCCACCACTTCCACCCCAAAACCACCACTTTTACCCCCAAAACCCCACTTTTTACCTCAAACCCACCACTTCCTCCCCAAAACCCGCACTTTTACCCCCAAAACCCCACTTTTTACCTCAAAACCCCCACTTTTACCCCCAAACCCCACTTTTTACCTCAAACCCACCACTTCCACCCCAAAACCCCCACTTTTTACCTCAAAACCCCACTTTTTACCTCAAAACCCCCACTTACCCCAAAACCCCCACTTTTTACCTCAAGCCCACCACTTTTACCCCAAAACCCACACTTTTAACCTCAAACCCACCACTTCCACCCCCAAAAAAAAACTTTTTACCTCAAACCCCCACTTTTTACCTCAAAACCCCAACTTCCACTCCAACCCCCCACTTTTTACCTCAAACCCCCACTTTTTACCTCAAAACCCCAACTTCCACCCCAAACCCCCCACTTTTTACCTCAACCCCCCACTTTTTACCTCAAAACCCCACTTTTTACCCCAAAACCCCACTTTCAACCCCAAAACCCCACTTTCAACCCCAAAACCCCCACTTTCCCCCAAAACCCACACTTTTTACCTCAAACCCACCACTTCCACCCCCAAAAAAAACCTTTTTACCTCAAACCCCCACTTTCCCCCAAAAACCCCCACTTTTACCTCAAAACCCCCCTTTTTACCTCAAACCCCCACTTTTACCCCCAAACCCCCACTTTTTACCTCAAACCCCAACTTTTTACCCCCAAACCCCCACTTCCACTCCAAAAAACACTTTTACCCCCAAACCCCACTTTTCACCTCAAACCCACCACTTCCACCCCAAAACCCCTACTTTTTAACTCAAAACCCCACTTTTTACCTCAAACTCCCACTTTTTACCTCAAAACCCCCACTTTTACCCGAAACCCCCCACTTTTTACCTCAAACCCCCACTTTTACCCCCAAAACCCCCACTTTTTACCCCAACCCCCCACTTTTTACCTCAAACCCACTTCCACCCCCAAAAAAAACCTTTTTACCTCAAACCCCAAAACCCCACTTTCAACCCCAAAACCCCCACTTTCCCCCAAAACCCCCACTTTCCCCCCAAACCCCCACTTTTTACCTCAAAACCCCCACTTTTACCCCCAAACCCCCACTTTTTACCCCAAAACCCCCACTTCCACTCCAAAAAACACCACTTTTACCTCCAAAACCCCACTTTTCACCTCAATCCACCACTTTTTACCTCAAACCCACCACTTCCACCCCAAAACCCCCACTTTTTACCTCAAAATCCCACTTGTTACCTCAAGCCCACCACTTTCACCCCAAAACCCCCACTTCTACCTCAAAACCCCCTTTTACCTCAAACCCCACTTTTTACCTCAAAACCCCCACTTTTACCCCAAACCCCCCACTTTTTACCTCAAACCCACTACTTTCAACCCCAAACCCCCCTTTTAACCCCAAAACCCCCCTTTTTACCTCAAACCCCTACTTTTTACCTCAAACCCCCACTTTTACCCCAAAACCCCCACTTTTTACCTCAAACCCCCACTCTTTACCCCCAAATCCCCACTTCCGCTGCAAAAAACACCACTTTTACCCCCAAAACCCCACTTTTCACCTCAAACCCCCACTTTCCCCCCAAAACGCCCCTTTTCCCCCCCACCCCCCCCTTTTCACCTCACTTCCCTCTCCTCCCTTGGCGGGAACCCTGAGGCGAAGCGGCGTCCGCACGGCGCATGCGCACCCGTTACCGCTCGGTTTCCCCCCCCCGGTCCCCGTTCCCCGTTCCCCGGTGCCGCTCACCCCGCGCAGGCGCTTTACGAGCGCGCTCTTCTGCCCGCTCTTGGCCAGCCCGCGCTGCTCCAGGGCCGCCTTCAGGTCCGCCACCCGCAGCAGATGCAGCGGCCTCCCGTCCAGCGTCACCTCCTCCCCGTCCGCCATCTTGCCTGACCGCCGACACCGACACCCTTCCCGGCACCGCTTGCGCACGCTTCCGGTTCCCCCTTCGGCTCTTTCCGACACCGCTTCGGCTCTTTCCGACGCCCCTCGAGGGACACCCACACCCTGCTTCGGATGCTTCCGGACCCGCTCCGACACCGATCGGCTCTTCCTTCCGGTGCCTCCTTCGGCTCTTTCCGGAA